TCAAATTACTACTTCCGGCCAGAACGTAGTATTAGAATCACGTCTGAATACATAATGAGGAAGAGCGGTATTTAACCGCGAAGCTCTTCGGCCTTAGTGGGAGAGATAGTAGGTATTTCGGCTGCTCCCCCGGATTAGTTTCTCGTAAGCTATTATCACGTTCGGCCGTACTTTAGGCCCTTGATTGCTTCGCAGTCTATTAACGTTATCTTGATATCTTCGGCTATACCTCTTTAGTTTAGATTAGTTTAGTTTTATTCTTAGTCTCTTAAGTTCAGAGCCCTTTATTGTACAGAGCCCTTTATAGTGTCGGCTTTATTGTACACTCCAAGGAGTTTGTTAAGCTTTAGTTGGAATAATAAAAGGCTAGTTTACCCTTCTATCTTGTTGTTTCCTATCACACGAACTCAAGCAATTATTTTCTTATTAGTTCTTAAGATTCTTCACGTTCAACAGTAACTCAGCATTACACTGTGAGGAATCCTACAAATTGATTCTTACAATTAGTTTAAAATGCAAAAACCAGAATAAGTGCTCAAATTTATTTGAGAATGTATTATCTACTGATGAAGTAAACTGGTTAAATAATATCCCGTTTTATTTTATATCAATTTTTATTATTACTTAAGTTTTCTTAAATTAGCTTAAAATAACATAATAATTAACATTCCGCTTTCTCCTAAAGTATTAATTATGTTGGCTCTGATATGTAAGGTTCTTTTCCAATTTTTGCATATATATCAGTTCTAAAATTTCGAATGCCTTGTACTGTTATTATGCTGTTATTAATTTCATTACGTTACTTACGTGGATGCTCATATTTGCCTTATCTAATTTTTTACGAATTATCAGATTTGAAGTTTTAATGTTCCTAGAATAATATTTCTTTCCTTTTCCCATTGTCTTTATATACATGCAAAAAAAACAGATTTTTTTTAGAATTTTCAACAACCAACGATGAAATGTTACCTGACACGGAGAAAAACAAACAGGAAAAAAAAAATAAATAAATAAGAATAAAAATAAAAATAAAAATAAAATAATAATAATAATAATAATCGTGAAAATAAAAGGTGATTAAATCAAAAACAGGAATGAATTGTAACTGACTCTTTTTCAAGGAAAAACCAAGAGAAATTTCAACGGAGCGGCATTTATGAATTCTATCTGGATGAACTTCAAAACAAAAATTAATTATATTTCTTGATTTTGAGCAACAAACATTTTCAAGCTAAATTATTTTTTTTTTCACAAAATCAAATAATGAGCAGTTTAAAATTTTTTAAATTACTATTTTATTAAATACGTTCAGTAGGATATAATTTGGCCCCAGACTACACCAAAGAAAATATCTTTACATATTTCTAAATATTACGATAAATATATATATATATATATAAATATCATAATATATACATATATTATGATATTTTTCTAAATATTAAAATTTAGAACACTAAGATAACCTCAGGTAACTCTAGGATAAAACGCAATGTATCATTCAGTCAGAACAAGAAAGAATTTTAAAAAAAATTGTAGTTACTTGGATACTCAAAGGAGTAAAAATTCTTTTAATGTTCAAAGTGAGAAAGAGTTTAAATAAATTAAAAAGTTAAGTCAGATAACCTTTAAGCCAAATTACGCACTTTAAGCTGTAGTAATTCAATTGTAATAATTAGTATTTACAAATCAAAGCAAATTTTTTTTTTGGGGGTGTAAGTTAGAAATAAATTAGTATACGATCTCTTTTGAAAATCTGTAAAAATTGCAGAAACCAATGAATTAATTAACACAAGTGATTTTTTTAATTAAAAATGTTAATGCTCTTTATTTATAGTTTCGCTATATTTAATGATTTTAAAACTCACTCTTTAAAAAATTAATTATTAAAATATAAAATATTTTTTATTGTTTGAATAAATATTTTTATTTTTTGAATAAAAAAATATTTTTTTCGCTATAAAATTGATGTTTTCAATTTTTTCAATTTGGGCAATTCTGCAGAAGAATTCGTTTTCACTAATTTATTTCTAATTTGTTAAATAAAATATATTTGAATTTGCTTTAATTTCATTAATATATAATATATATGTGTGTGCGTGCGTAATAAAAATATATTTTTCACTATTAATTCATGTTTTCAATTTTTTCATTTCGGGCAATTCTGCAGAAGAATTTGTTTTTACTAATTTATTTCTAATTTGTTAAATAAAATACATTTGAATTTGCTTTAATTTCATTAATATAATATATATATGTGTGTGCGTCCGTGTATATATAAGTATATATGTATATATATATATGTGCGTAAGAAAAATAAAGAATATATGGAAAATAAATTACAATATAAATTAGTAAATTAATTTCCCTTTTCTATTTTAAAAATAGTAATCTATCTTTGCACTGCATCATTTCGAGACAAATCCATATCATATGACTTTTACATAATTCTGATAATATAAATCGAACTAAAACTGAAACAACCATTAATAGCAGCCAATAATTTCGGCCAATAATAATATTTTCATTAATTATCCAATCAAAATACATTGAGAACCAAAACTAACTCCCTCTGAATTAAGATATCATCCTGAACTTAACTCACTCTTCTCAACCTTGCTACTTTTCCACCTAGCTGGAAACCTATGCATGAAATTACATAGTCGTTTGTCGGAACCGTTGTATTATTTCGTGTTAACCGTCTTAAGCGTTTTCGCGTTCAACGTATTTCACTGCACTTAAAATCAACAAGTATTCTGAATCAGCGGTCGTCAACCCTTAGAACTTAACGGATTACTACATATATAATTTTATATTTGGCGAACCACTAATATAAATTAAAAAAACTTAAATCATACCTTAAAAACAACATATTAATACGCAAGAACGATATTCAACTTTCCAGTACATGTAATTCTAATTTTCATTTAAAAAATAATTTTCGAAACATTTGGTGTTCAGAAGCATGCCTTTATAGAAATTCAGGCTACACCCCTGATTATAAGTAACAATTTAAACACTATTAACGTCTCACTGATACACACATTTCGTTCACATTGAAAAATTATATGAAAAATACAAAAATCTTACCTTCCTGTACAGAAAGCTTCACATTTCCATATCATTGAAAAGGAACTTCCCGGAAAGCAAGAACAAACCGGCAAATATCAATAAACTCAAATTGTTATGCCAACAATTTTTAATTATTGTAAACAGAATAATCATTGCTTACTCAGCAATGACGCAATCGACAGCAGTGAGGTAAAAAAAAAGGGAAAACTTCCAGTGATGCAATTATAAACAAGAATGCAGATGGTTCTCATAAAAATCCATCCATTTGCCTAGTGACACGGAGAAAAACTGTGTTATTAACGACTACAATAGTATATGTTTATAATTCAAAAGGAAAGAGAATTCCAGTTCGCGCTAATATTGATAACAGCAGCATATCCATGGATGCCAACTCTCACTTTCAAATGCCGCTAGATACACCTACAAAAGTAACTAAAATATCGCTAAATTCAGAAATAATTTCGCTAAAAGTAGTAGCTAAAATTTAAAAATAGTATAATCCATATTCCATAATAGGTTTTGTTAGTAGTCATTTTTTAAATTGCATCTTCATAAAAGTATAAATAGTGTACCAATTTTTCTGCGGACCATCAAAAGGTTTTCACGGAGCATCACCAATTGGCGACCGCTGGTCTAGATGGTATAGATGGTGGCGTGTGAATTTTAGAGGTATTTGAGATGAAGTGACTTAAAACGGTTTATAGGACAAACAGATTTAGTTGCACTCGTTGTCAGTTCAATATATTTTTATTATTAAAAAATATTCTTGGTATACACATTTTAACTAGCGCAATATGCAAGCCCGTTTTTAATAACTACATTTGTACCTTTTACAAATCTATAACAATGTATTTGCAGAAAGAGAAGCGATGCATTATGTATTAGCAATATAAATACTGAGAAGTGCGTAGAGTACAATTTGGATGTTAGTGTAGTTATGTGTCTAATTTATGTCTGCTGGTGAATCAAGATTTTCTTTATGTAGGTATATGTGTCGTGAGCGTTACATTAGAATGATATGACAGGGATTCATTTTGAAACAATGCGTTGGAGAGGCTTATAAACATCTTACTATTTTAGGAAAATAAGACAGCCAAATTAAAAGTAACCAAATTAAAAATTATATCTATGGGCTGATGCAACTTAAAGTTAGAATTGCATCTTGCATATGTATACCGGATGATTCAGAATTCATCATCAATATTTGGTGGGAGATAGGGAATAGGAAAAGAAGGAGATTTCACGTAGAAATGCATGGGCGCATATGCCATGTAGTAGGGCAAAATAACCCCAGTTCAGTGATGGAAAGAACATAAAAAGGAAGCAGTAAGGGGAAAAAAAACATTTATTATCCTACATGTAACATTTCTTTGCATCGGTTTTACAGATTTACAAGAGGTGCTCGAACTGCTGACCATGTACTAGAATGCATGACTCACAACGGCGTTGCATGGACAACGGACCTTCTGGAATATGCCCGGCATTTACATGCATATCTGCAAGTTCATTCCGGTTCATGTTACTTCTGCAAAGTCACCTAGTCGAATGACGACTGGCTGGAAACGTCAAACAGCTGTGCTTATATATGGAAATTGTGTACACACAGCGCTCTCTACACCCCCATGCGCCCATACTTTCCTTTTTGAAATCTCCTTCTTTTCCTATTCCCTACCTCCACACCAAATATTGATGACGAGTTCTGAATCACCTTGTATACTTATTTATGTAAAGAAATAGTTTTATGTAAATAAATTACTTTTATTCCTTAAGTTAACTTTTCTAATAATTTTGTTTGATTTATTTAGTAAATTTATTTTCCTATTCATATTAGTATAGGTCTAAATTTTTGTTTGTTTCTAAAATTAAATTTTATCTTAAATTTATATCCTAGAACTGTTTTGAGGAAAATTTCTATTTTTCTTTCACAGAAAATTCTAATTTCGAGCCTTTTATGGAGGACATCTTTCTGTTATCATTCCTAAGATGGAAAAAGTATAGAATTAATGAAGCATTTGAAGCTCTTCATGATTTCTACACTCTTAAGAAAAAACACTCTAGAATATATTTTGATTTCACCCCTTCAGAACTGACACATGTACTGAAGATGAATCACTTGGCTACACAGCCATTGAGAGGTCCTGGCGGTTGCAACGTGGGAATTTTGAGATTAGGTAGATGAATCTTATTATATAAAATATTATGTAAATAAAGAACTTTATATTCATTCTCATAAATGCATGTTAATATAGAAATATGATGCATTCTCAGAATATTTAATATAATATATTCTCATAAGAGAATCAGATTTTGTATACTTTATGTACATGTTAATATAGAAATAATTTTTTTCTTAGCACATCGTTAATAGACATCGTAATTACGCTTTCTGCCGACTGCTTTTCAGATTTCTTCATTTAGTAATAGGTTATTTTCAGATACTGCAGTCTTATTTATGGGATAGTAATTGATATTTCATGCTTTTAAGGTGCTATAATTTAAAATGATCTTTACAAAGTTTGCTTTAGAAGAGAAATTTATTGATGGACAGCAATTGAGAGAAATTATTTCTAGACTTGGGGATCTTGTTCAGCAGCTAAGTTTCAATTAAAATAATGCTTGAAAAAAGCCAATTAACGATTTGACGAACACAGCTATAACAACCTCAATTTGTAATTATGTAAACTCGGTTATATGCAAGCTCTTTCCTCCATAACGTTCCTCATAAACAGTGTGCTGATGCCAATCTTTATCTCTTCACTGTATTTAGAGAAGCGCTGTTCATTCAAATTCAGAACCGCTTTAGCGCTCTGTTATTGCAGATTGCTACGGGATCTGAAGTCTGAGGCTTGATTTATTTACGAGGGCATTTTGAAAAGTAAAAATACAATGGCTAGTATTCCCTTTAAAAAAAAAAAAAAATTAGAAAACGTCAGTTACATTTTAAATAACTGGATTATTTATTATTTTTCGACATAATCACTTCCGTTATCCAAACATTTGTTAAGTCGGTGCACAAGCTTTTGTATCCCACGGTCATAGAAGGTTGTCGTCTGTTGGAACCCAGCGCGAACACAATTTCCTGTACCCTAACTTGACAGTCACAACTTCATAAAGAGTTGTCATTTTCACTTCCGGTATGATCTGATGCAATTCTTTCAATTTGAGACGTCTATTCGCACAAATTGCTTCCTCTGTTCTCTGAAGAAGGGCATCAGAGATGACAGATGGCCGACCTGTTCTTTGTTCATCATGAACATCGGTCCTACCTCCAGAAAAAATGACGACACCATTTCGTTACATTTTGTCGATTCATAATGTTTCCATAAACAGAAACAATTTCTTTGTGAATATCCTCTGGTCGCTGACCTTTTGCATGAAGAAAACGTATGACGGAACGCACTTCGCATTTCGCGGGATTCTGAATCGGCGCAGCCATTTTAAACACGACCTACTCCAACCAGAGTCCACCTTGAAATGCCGAATGATCGCGAGGAGAAAGCTAACGGTTCAAGGTTAACACCTGTGTTGCCAACTTGCTCACCAAAACTTTTCTTTTCCTCTGGCGTACGGTGTATCTTTACTTCTCGAAATGCCCTCGTATTATAACAAGGCTTGTGAGAACGGAAGCGATGCCTACGGGGAGGAAGTTCTAAGGGAAACTGGGTCGTACATACGTTACTCATGGGGAAGGCCCATGAAGCCAGCCCGTTAGCCTGGACTCGAACCCAGGTCGGAACTGCCAGTGTTTATCGAACTGAAATCTGATATAAGGACTTCTTGCCGTCCAGATGGAAAGGAAATTCTTTTTTTACCATACGAAGCAAGATGATTCCTGTATGGAATCGAAATATGGTGGAAAGCAAATTCAGTACTCAATCTGTCAAAACCATAGGCAGAGGTCTCTGGCATATAAACAAGAATCTGAAAATAACATTTCTCGAAAAGATGATGGCTGGATTTGGCCAAGCGAAACAGCTAATTCCCTTTCTTTCAAAAGAAAGTCCTTGATGCTCCTAGGATTAATTTAAGGTTTCCTTCTTGCGAAAGAGAGCCATAGACGGCGGAGTCAGCAGACATTACGTCAACGACACTGACAAAACGACAGCTGAATGCAACAAAACAAAGTTGACTGATGTAGATTTTTTTTAATTTAGTACAAAACACTATCTTTTGAATGTGGTACGTACCTTTCATTTGCCAATAGAAGAAGAGGAAAAAAATGAAACAACAAAAAGAAAAGGTTGATTGACATAGATTTTACAGTTTAGTACAAAACAATACCTTACTGTTTGTGGTACTTCATTTAGTATTAAATGAAGAGACCAATTTCATCAACTGAAGTAGTGTTCAGTCGATGAAACTCTTTTGATAAAAATATATTAATTACCATTGCTCTTTTTGCACTTAAGTTTTACTTCGCATATCATTCATTTCAAGACCTCGTCTTCTATTCTCTGCCAGAGGTGTGCTGGAGCCAAATTTTAGAAATGCCCATTGTGAAGAGAATTCAACAATCATTCATTCTTTGGCAACCTTTTTAGACAACACGTTAGCAGAGTAATATCTAATAGCAATGGCTAAAATGCTGGAAATAGTGAAATACTTTGCTTTATTTAGAAATACAGCATAAAACTAAATATGGCTCTAAAAATTCTTTTCGAGGTCTCTCCTAAAATACTAAAGGGAAACCAAAGATACCAAAGATCTCCTCAATGTCAAATAGACAACGAAGTTCAGCTGTTATTTCTTAAATTTCGGTTTCATGTGATTGCCAGAAAACTTTCGGTTTCATGTCATTGCGACACTCCAGGGTTGTCTGCCTAAGGGGAGGGAAAACATTATCGAGACTTTCTTAGTGAAACTGGCTTTTTCTATCCCTTAAAATCCCATTTAAGACTTACAAGAAAAATTATAGAAAAAAAATTGAAAGATTATCATGTGGCATAATCTTTCAATCTCTCTGACTGCAAGTGCAAAACATTTCATCTGTGGTTTCGTAATCTGATCATAAGAGTGTCACACTCGGTTCGTTTTATTGCTAAATTGAATTTATTATTGTTAAATTGCATTAAGCAATTCAACAATATTGCATTGATAATTGCATTAAGCAATCTAACAGAATCAGATAATAAGATTAAATAGTTATTTTACGCATAAATAAGTTTGAACGTAAATTAAGATTCATAAAATTGGTTTGAAATATAGTATATAAAAAGAATTGAGTAACTTTGAAACAACCAACATATAAAAAAAATCAAATTCATATTTTTTAATAGTTCTTCCCTCTTGCTTTTTTTATGTATGGTGTGCGAGGACGTGTAAAGGAATCCGTGTGATAAGTAAAGCGTCATATAATTTAATTAGTCTCTAAACATCGTTACACATGTGAATTAGAAGAAAAAATAAAATTCAATGCAATAATATTTATTTGAAGCAAATTTAAGTTTAATGGCAGACAAAATTGTCTTCAGAGTAAGAGATTAAAATGAAGAAATTTTTCTGGAAAGAAAGTAAATGCGCCCTGTTATGTAAAAAATGTAAGTATGTTAGAGTATCACATTTTGATTTGTAATGCTTCCAAGTAATTGTTCACTTCTATAAAGTGAAATACCACCAAATTCTGCCTTAATTTTTTAAACTAATATTTCTGAATTCTTATGCTTGTAATTCAAGTAAAACACAACTCCGCTAAAATATGCCCTGTGAATATCAATTGTGAACAACAGCTTTTTCACTTGCATTCATTCTGCTTAAACGTTTTCTTAGAAAAGGTGGTTATAGTTCTTTAGATAATTTTCTTCTCGTTAAATATACAAGATATTCAAGGAACCATTGAAACATTTAAGCAGTATTAAAGTTTTCTGGTAATTCTAATAATAATATTCTTTATTCTAAATATTTAGTCATTAAATTCACTACTTATCTTATGAAACCATGATTTTTATTGTTTCTTATTGACACTAAATACCTCCGCAGGCTTAAAACAGAATATTTATCATCAGCTAGAAGTTGACGTCTTTAAAACTGCCGAATATATGTAAACAGTTTTATTATTGGTGTACATTTTTACTTTCTTGTACGTAGCAAAGGAAGTATTGTAATCGCGAAAAATTTCCGGTATTATAGTTCAACAAAAATATCCATTTTGACCACTGTCGAATCCATTTGAACGATGTTTTTGGGTGACAACTGTAGGTAAGGATAGAATAAAGGACGACATTTTCCTAAACGAGTTGTAAAATGTATGTAGAAGAGATTCTAAAGCGATTTTTTGTGATACCTGCACGTATCCAAGTATATATCTCGCATAACTCAAAAACATGTAGCTATCTTAAAAGAGTGAATCCATACTAGTAAGTCCTATTTTGAAAGATGTTTTGAAGTAACTTGAAAGCAAAATGTTAAAAATGTTTTACCAGGGACTGGAATTAAATCATATATATATAAATGTTACCATTCGGTTATCTGGCTCAGTGAGACCATATTTTTATTATTATGTGCTGGTAAATTGGGCATTTTTTGCTTTAAAAGTAATTGAGTTAAGTTGTTCTTTTGATTAGATTATTTTATGCACTTAGTTACTCTGCATGCTATAGTGTAGAGTTATCAGAAATTCAAAGTTTAAGTAGCGCTAGGCTAGGCCTAACGAGGTTGCCATTTGTTTACATTTCAAACTTTTAGTAGAGTAGTAAATTAAGACAGTTCGTGCACCAACTTTAATGTCTTTTTGCCCAGTAGAACCAAAAGTTAACTTTAAATTTTGTACACCTAAAACTTTTTCTTCTTGCCAGCTGGTCAGATTGTTTGTTTTTGCGTAGAAACTTCTAAGTTTAATTGTAAAAATTATTTTTTAACCGTTTTTAACACTATTTGGTGTTTTAAGTTTTTTTATATTTTACAACTTTAAAAATGAAGATAGTTTGAGGATTTATGTATTTTTGGCTTGCCACGAAGTAAGAACTGAATTGATTGTATCAAAAATATATTTATAATGAAATTCGAGGAAATACGAAGAAATGAAGTGCAGCCAAAAAAAAATGTGTATAATTGGATAGGCCCTGCAAGGAAGCCATGTAGTGTCCATATCAAGTATTTTATTTTTTGAATTTAGGATGAGATTCAAACTTTCGACAGTTTATGTAGCATTATGTACAGAATAAATTATGCAACG